TATTAATTCTTTCATTCCTAAGGGATCGGCCCATTGGTAGCTGACTGAAGGGGGGACAGGCTTTGAATACCATGCATCTACAACCAACCAAGCCGATGTATAGGTACTGTCGCATTTATACAATCTTGAATGAATGGGAATCAAATGGGCGGAACTACCAAAGGGGGAGGGGCTTGTCTGACCCAGAATTTTCATTTTCTAGGCTTTTTACCCAATGTAACACACCTTAGTCTTGCTCTCGCTCAACCGATGTCTCAGATTTTCGTAGTACGATTTGGGTATGCTGAGAAACTCGACGCCTCGTGCTCGAAGTGCTTCTATGGCTGTGATGATGTTGCTGGTATTCAAAGCAATATGCTGTACTCCTGCACCTCCATAGTAATCGACGTATTCCTGAAACACTCCAATAGCTGCAGTACCGTTAATAGGTAGCTGTTTGGGTTACCTGTATTTGTGAAACGGCTTTCTTGCCCATGGCCGGCTCATTGATGGGCATTTTGATTGTTTCGTCTTCATTGGTAACGACAATGGACCGTAATGCCGAATATTCGGTATGGATCATTGAATCGTCTACGGACCAGAATCTGGAACACTTCTACAATTTTTTCTATAATTGTAAGTTCTTTCTGTGTAGCTACCGCTATACCCAAAGGCACTTGCTCGACGAGACAACTAACTAGAAATCACCGCTGACCGTGAGCTGATCCGGCATCACACCATGAACCCGATCCCAACCACCCTAGTCGGGTCTGATATCTTATCGTCTAATTGATGCCTCGCTACTCAAAATACTTTCCAGCAAAAAGTCAACGTCGGATTACTGGCTGGCTGAATTTAAAAAATCCGTTTATTGCAGTTAATTTTAAGAATAATTATTGCTGACCTTACTTTTCGACGACAACTTTGATTTTTCGATGTTATTAAATTTTGTAATTAAACCAAAATTCCAAATTCTTAGTGCCTTTTCGAATTTCATAACCCCAAGTTGTCAAAATCCTATTACATTCTTAAAAACCTGTTTAGTTATCAATTGAGTCCTTCCGATTTGACTGAAAAACAACGAACCTATGGAAACCCAGCGCTTTCTCGTACCATTCGACAGCAGTGTTCATTTGAAGATCTGGTTGATTGCCAACACAGTGATCGATGAAGTTTAGGCCGGCCTGAATACTGGACTTGGATCTGAGGCTAGAAAGGGTAAAACCACTATGAAGACTCACCCGAGGAAGAGATTGGAAGAAAGTTTTCTCCAGAGGGTGAGGCTTGAATCCTGGCAAGAAAATTCCTCGATAGTTTTTCCGCTCGAGTAAGGTATGTACGGTATCGCCATACTGTAATCACTAGCTTTTGCTTTCGCCTTTACAACTGGAAAGAATACCGTTCACCGTACCGTTTGCAGAACTGCATACTTGATGATACCGTGTTCGTCTGATTCTTCGGTCACGTCTTTCACGACCTTTGCACCGCCTTTCTTTGCGTGCTTGACGATCGTCTCGACGTCATCCACCTGAAATTGGCCGAGCAACTTTAAAGTGGCCTTGAAAAGGCCAAATAGAGGTCCTTTATAGTGCAAAGCGGGTTTCCATAGGGAAGAACAATGACGTCATGAAGATTGCCTTCCTTAGAAAGACTTCTCGGGCGGATCTAATAGATTTTTCTCGAATATCTCGAGGTTCGTCCCTGCCCCATCTCCCACCAACTTCTGATGAGGCCGCGATTAAGATGAGCGGGGATAGCTAAGATTTGTAAAGTGGGTACTTACTTCACCGAGGAATTGAGGGAAAACTTTTTGAGGAAGGATGGGGAACCAATTGGGGAGAGGACGGTACGCTTTTTAGGACGATACGCTTGACTTGACTACCAACCACCAAATTTTAGAAAGTATAAACAAACCTCAAAACAAACGTCTTTGACTCCATCACCGTGTTTAACCAAATGCTCACCGAGCTCCTTGTTATTCGGTAGAAGAGCCGATTCAAAAACGAAAATTATCTGAAAAAAAAGTAAGTTTAAAAATTAAAAAGTTAGAGAAACCACTCCGGAAGGGTCTACCTTGTTTTGTTTGACGGCATGCTGAGCAATTTGACGGCTACCGGTTTCTAGTCCACGGTATGCAAATGGCTCGAAGCCAAAGTTAATACAGTACCAGTAGGCAGCCTGAAGAGAAGTACTGTATATACCAGCCGGCCTTTTTATACTGTTGTAAATCAAAACGTTACATTTAAAGGAAGGTTCACAATAATTCGAAAAGATCAGAACACTCAAGTAGCGAATGCATTAACGAATGCATACGCGAAAAAATTTGTAATGAAGGACAAATATAGAGAGTAGCAGATAATAAAGAAGAAAGTGGATATTACATATAAATATATATTAATATAAAGAAGATGGTGTGAAAAATAAATAATTACGTAATTATTGGCAATAGAGACTGATCTGCAAACCTTATCAAAAAAGACATCGTGAGCGTCAATACATTCCCGCCACCTTTCCAGCAGCAAATTGATAACGCAATGGTAGGAGGAGGCATTTTCTCGAAACTTACTATCTCTGCACTAGCAACTAGGTGTTCGGGTGAATAGTATAGTCGTGTAACAGAGCCTATTCTTGCTTAGGAAGCATTCCAGTGAATGAGAGAAGCGAATATTCGGACGAGCCATCCGATAGCTCCCAGCCCATATTTTTTGATTTGTCTTCAAACAAAGGTATCAGAAATCCAAAGTGTGATTAGTCGATTTTCAGGAACTCAATGAGCAGCAAGCTGTTTTCGTCCTTTTTAACACTTCCATAACGTTGGGACCAAAGGTTGTATAGAAAGGCCAGCACAATGGGGGGTCACAAAAAAATTATGCACAGGAAAGTCTTCATTCCAATTGACTGTTTGTGGACAAAACGTTTTTCCGTACTCGGTACTAAGTAAATAAGTAAACCAGTGAATAAAGAAAACTATCAAGTCAATGGCCAATCAAGGGCTGAAGTGAAGAGAAAGTCCAAATGTTTCAAATCCCTTATCATTGACGTGGAACAAAAAACTTGTCTGCTATCAATCATTTCTGATTTAGGAGGGCAAAAAACAAAAGTGCAAAATTGCAGAGATA